GATAAAAAAAAATGACCAATAAACATATGAAAAATATCCAACTACACTAGCAATAAAGATATACAAACTCAAATACAACCACCTATTTAAATTTTTTGCCCACATTTGGCAAGCCAAGGAGAGAGGCCTCAGAAGAAACCAAACCTGCCAACACCTTGATCTTAGACTTCCAGCTTTCAGAGCTGAGTGAAATAAATATCTGATGTTTAAGCCACAGCGTCTATGCTATTTTGTTATGGCAGCTGGAGCAGACTAGTACGCTATGAAAGGTTAGAAACATCTCACCTGTATTCTGGAGCCGAAAGTTTACCCTCATCAGCATTGTTTTTCCATTTTTACCTGTCTTTTATCTCTAAATCCAGAAATAAATATGAACATCAAGGAAGAACCTAATAGCAAGGATTCATTGGTCAAAGTATGCATGGCAGGTCCTGTAATGGGTGCTTCACAGAATGCCAGTTTACTCTGCACCTAACAGTCCAGGGCACTTTGGGCCATAGACATTGAGTAACCAGCCCAAGATCATACCATCAGCACAAAGGTGGGGACGGCATTTGAACGCACATCTGTCAAAGAGCTGAGTTTGCTGGAAGGAGCAGAGGCTTGGGTTTGAACCCAGGTGTGTTGCTAAATCTCAAAGTCTGACCTTGGGAGGGATTTCTTGTCTTCCATGAGCCTCAGTTTCTTCATCTGTAAAACGAGGGGAGTAATATTTACTTTGCAGGATTGGAAAAGGGATTCAATGAGATAACATGCAGAAGAATGAGAACATAGTAGATATCCCAAAGTGGTCAGCTCCTCTGCTGTAGCTTGCAGAGGCAAAGCCAAGACAAGAATCCTTGACCCTGGTGTTAGCAGAAACTGCCTTATTTCAACAGGGCTTTTTGGTTTCAATCAGGAAAAAGCCTATTTCTGTGCTGCTTTATATGTGATCGTTTAAAAATTAAACAAGCTTTTATCTATCAGGTGACTGATCTGTCACAGGTAGATCAGTCACCTGATAGACTGGGGCCCTCACAAGCTGGGGCCTGTGACTAGGTACATTTTGGGATGTCTGTGCTCACCCCTGGGCACAGGAAAAAGAAAAATCAAGTGGAGACTGGCCTGTCTTAACAAGTCAGGGCTGAGCTACAAAGCACTAGTGTGTGTGTGAAAATATAATGTGATCAAGGAATTCTGATTTGAATTTAAGTCTGTTTTTAACTTGTGTTTCTTAAAGAAATCACTATTCAATCATGGCGAAAAGTACTGCTCAGCTACAATTATCTCAAAAAATAAAAAGTTTAATTTAAGAAAAAGAAGAAAGAGTACCACTCAGGAGTCAGCCACACTTGGAGTCAAAGCCAGCTCCTTCTATTTGCTAGATAAGTGACCTTGGCCAAATTCCCTAAACTCCCCAAACCTGTTTTCCTCATCTGTAAAATGACCACAATAATAACCACCTCACAGTTTGGTAGTGACTAACAAATTCAATTACATGTGTAGTATTCATTTAACTCGGTATAGTCTTTGCAACAACTTTATGAAATAGGTACTATCATCATCCTCATTTTCCTGATGAGGTAGCTGAGATTCAGAGAAGTTATGTCACTTGTCAAAGGTCACACAGCCAGTAGGCGGTAAAGCTGGATTCCAGAGGCTGTGCTTTTAGCCTTTATGGGATGACTGCCCCTGAGTAAATATCAAACACCTGCAATTGCATCAAAGGAAAAATAATCCCTTTTCTTTTTAACATCTTTATTGGGGTATAATTGCTTTACAATGGTGTGTTAGTTTCTGCTGTATAACAAAGTGAATCAGCTATACATAAACATATATCCCCATATCTCCTCCCTCTTGCGTCTCCCTCTCACCCTCCCTATCCCACCCCTCTAGGGGTGGGATAAAAATAATCCCTTTTAATTCGACTGTTAATTAATTTTTGTTTTTATTTTAAGAGAACTTTGTACAACAAACTAAATAAAACATAACCTATAAATAGGAATGCTTTCACAAAATTATATGAATGATGGTTTGTTTCAGATTTAACCTAGTTTTAGCTAAGAATTATGTTTTTAATTACACAAATTACATTGACGATAGAATTATAGAGTTAATGTAAATGAAATTAAATAATGTTATGAGCACAGAAGATGAGAAATGTTTATCAAAAAACCACAGAGGAATGGGAAATTTGTTTACTGGGTAAAGAGTGCTTCTTTTGGTTTTCAAATATACTATACATAATATCCTTTAGATATCTTAAAATCAAAATGTACATTTAATATAAAATATCAAAACATTCTTCTTCCAAACCGCCATACCCACGTATTTTTTCCAGTCTTACTTTTAAGTTATATAAAAAGGTAATCACAGTACATGGGAATTTTCACCATTTTCCATCTTCTTTCAAACACATATCTTATTTACCTGTTCTTTTCTTTATCAACATGTATTAAGCACAGACCCTGCTGTGGGTGCTCAGGACACAGCTTGAAGACACTCAGAGACAGGAAGGTAATTACAATAATGTGAGTGAGAAGTGTTTCCACTGTAGAGTTCTCCAGCTCAGTGGGAAGACAGGTGAAGAAAGCAGGAGGGGACTATAATCAGGTGAGCAGATACTGTATGGCAAAGGCCTGAGCCTGGACAGTGGGATAGGTTTTAACTGATGTGGCTTCCCAGGCTGTAAAGCGGGGTTACAAGAAAGATATGGGGAGTGGAATGCCCCCTATGCCATGCCCTGGGGTTGAGATAGTTTAAGGGTTTTAAACATCAGAATGTCTAAACATGATCAGATCTGTGTTTTAGAACTTTTATTGGGAGGAGTGTGGAAACCGAATTGGATCTAAGAAATCTGGGGGCAAGGAAATGATTCAGGAGTCTAACTGCTGCTGCTGTCACAGGAAAAAGTATAAGGGTCTGAACAAAGGCAGTGGCCATGGAAACCAACGGGAGCGAAAGGTGTTGGGGGTAGATCCCAGTCCTTCCTTTGTGCTAATAAACCTGTTTCTCACATTTTTCTCCATCTCATGTGTATTATCTGTTAATGACCCAGCAGTAATTAGTTGAACTAATATTGTTATTATTTTGTGCCAGACGTAATTTCATTGTTGCAAGAAATCTGAGGCACAGAGTGGAAGCGACTTGCCCAAGATCACACAGCTGGGCAGGAGCAGAGAGACAAGGCCCGAACCAGCTTTGTGTGAATCCACACCCGATGCTCCTCCAGTTCACCCACACCCCCGTACTGCTTTCTGTTTTCGGTTTTGCTCTCAGTGACTGGCAGCCTTTTAACCTGAATCCGTCCCCTTCCTTTCTTAAAAGAATACCTTATTGGCTTACTAATCTTTCCAACTACTGTCCAATCTACTGCTTTCCATATCATGTTGGTCTGGAGCCTCTGCAATATTCATCTTCTCATCAGACATTTTTTTACTTAAATTTCAGCCATTTGGTTTCTGTGCCATCTAAATTTACTGACGTTGATTACTGTCTGGAAAAATTCAAAGTATTTCTTCATCCTTCCTTTCCTGCACTTATCAGAGTACTTTGTGTTAGTAACAACTTCTTTATTCTTGAAACTCCTTTCCGCATATGTGCTGCAACACTTTGCTTTCCCATCATGTCCCTGGGTCACTCCAGAGGCTCCTTCTCTGGCTCTTAAGGTGTTCTTTCTTGATAAAGAAAAACAGTTCCTTTTCTCCTTTTATGTTCTGTGCTTGCCCCTAGAGGTGTTGGGTTTTCTTTTGTTTCCTATGCTTGTTTGACTCCTCTGCTGTTCTCTCTCAACGTGAAGACTTGTTTCAGTGATTTACTGACAACATACGTTTCACATAACCTCCCCAAACATTCCTGCCCTGCCAGTCACCTCGTCTGCCGGTGCCGAAGTACACAAAGGATTCATTCCGCTGTGTAAGCTTTCTGCCTGACCCCCACCTCCCCAGGGGCTTAAATTTCTTTGATCGTGAAAATAAATGCCAAGCAGGTATTAAGCTTACAGAATTAGAATTGAAGCCTGCGGGTGAGAGAGAAAGACAGACAGACGGACAGACAGACTAGGTCAGCTGCATATCCCCGGCTGAATGCATCTCAGTTCACAGCTCAAGCTCAAGTTCCTGGAGGACCAGGAACCTCTGTCCCATACTTAACTCAGAACCTCCAGAGCAAGTATGACTCAATCAGCAAGCATACCATTGAACCAGCACGTCACCAGGCTGACAGCGAGTCTGGGAGTCCTGTGCAGTCAGTGATGACAATTCTTGCTGGGCACTCTCAGGATGACCCAGGATTGATACTGATCTGAAACATAAGTGCCAATAAGACTCCTATTTCCAAGATTCAAGAGTGCCAGCCTTGAAATGATAGGATCCAGGGGTTTCTGTTCTGAGCACAGTGCACCTTTCATCTCCAATATCTATACAGGTTTGTCCAAAACACAATTAAGAAAGAAAAACAAAAAACCCAAAAAAAGCACAACGGTGTTCGTCACCTCTGCTCCCTCCATCCCCACCCCAGTGTCCAGGAGATGGGAATTCAGACAAAAACTTAGACAAAAAAGCAACATCCCTAAAATTGTGCTTTACTGTTTGCTGGGTTTGTTTGTGTTTTTTTTCCCCCGGTTTTATTTTTCTCTGGGGGTGGGATGGGGGAGGGGAGGGGAGGACCTGGGCGCGGAGGAGGAATCCAGGCTCTCAGGCCTCTCTCCTCCACCCTTCTTTTGCGGGGTGCTCTTCAGCGCACTGAAGGGAACACTTCTTGGGGAGTACCCTTTCTGCTTGGTGCCTCCCACCGCCAGTCAGGCAGCCACAGGCAGAGGGGAGGCTCTGATCTGGGCTTGGCTGCGAGTCAGGAAGGCAAAGATCGCGGAGCCGGAGCGCTCAGGGCCAGGTGACACAATCGTGGGTGCCCGGCGCTGCTTGACAGCTTCATCCCCGCCCACTGGCAGGAGAGCGCAGCCAGGCAGCACGCGCGCGCGCAGGGTCCTTAAAAGCCGCGGTCGCGCGGAGACGCCGAGCTCGCCCACCGCGCGCAGGCGGCGACATGCACGTGAACGGCAAAGTGGCGCTGGTGACCGGCGCGGCCCAGGGCATCGGCCGAGCCTTCGCCGAGGCGCTGCTGCTCAAGGGCGCCAAGGTAAGCGAGGCAGGGCGCACGGCGCGAACCTCGCCGGCTCACCCGAGGCCCGCCCCCC